TCCACATACTGATGGCTGAGTGGTCACAGTGCCAGAAGGGGTTTACTGTTTGTCACCGGCATCGCACTATGTGAAACAGTTCAGTCTGGAGAGTTTCGGGGGCACAGCAGTCCCACATTCCAAGTTGTACCTCAGGGATCCCATCATAAGTAATAAATGGATTTGACGGGCAAACATCTGGCAGAAAAATCTGACACACCAGTTTATCATTATTTATTACTATTTTAGTTTTACTGTTTAAATCAAAAGGTACTTTTAAAATAAATATACAGTCAAAATGGATTGGGCATCAAATGATTCCCCTTTAAGCAGCAGTACTGTACTTACTGAGGCAGCAATGAATCTCTAATGAGACACAGAAGCTTGTTGTTTGAGTCAAGGCTCTCCTCTTTCTCTTCAGCCATGACCTCGTGGCTCACAAGCAGTGATGTGGTTTCTGAAAGCAACCGCAAGCTGAAGATTCTCCATTCCACTTGAAAATAAATGTGCCAAGAATGTGACCACACTGAAGTCTAATTAAAACAAAATGTGGAATTCATGGACATTTTAGTTGATGTGGCCATATACTTACCATTCTGGCTATGGACCAAAGAAACTAACGGTGGAAGGATATAGTCCACAGCCTAAAACAGAGCATTAAAGAAATATGGTTTAGATCATTCAGAAAGAAAAAAAAATAGAACTCATATAATTATGTTTATTCTACTATTAGAGTCTTTGATCAAAGGGATGAGCAATCCTAGAAATTCATCCATAATCACACTTATTAGACCACCAAGAGAACTTTGCTCTAGTAAATCACTATAAAGTCATAGAGGACAATATCTGTATATGAAAAACAGTATAATCAATGTTGGACAGTTTACTGATAATTCTTTTTGTTTAAAAAGCAGAATCTGATGCTTATATTAGATATTAAAGAAGCTAAAATAGAATTATCAATTGTATTAATCCCCATGCTCCAGATAATAAACTAATTATCTGATGGGATTAGGAAAGAATTTCTTCCGATGATATTTGAAGTACACTGTGGCAGTTTCATACCCTGCACACTGAAACATTTATCACCATCAATTTCAGAGATACTTCAAATAGATTAACCATTGGTTCTTTCCAATACAGTAATACATAGGTTCCCATTAAGATTCAGTTTTAGAGGCTGAACTCATGAATTTTGATAAAGAATATATTCCAATAAAATGTTTCCATATTCCCTAGAGTCACTGAGCAATGTTCCAATCTGATGTATCCAGTTATCTATTTAGTGGGATGACAACTTATTTTCATACCCAGTTTTAAGTAAATTCAGCTTTTAAAAAGCAAATATATATAGGGAATGGATAATGCAACAGGAGCAGAGACAAAACAATCAGAAGCAATACAAAACAATAAACTGATTTTGAGCATCCAGGGCAGGTTACAGATACTAAAACTGAGAAATTAATGTTACTACTTAATCATTTCAGTAAACTACACAAATTAAATAATGAAGAACTTTCAAAATAACACCATCACAAAAATATAGTGAAAACAAATGATTTCACCATACCACCATAAAACAGGCTTCTCAATTGCTTTGAACAGAATGCAAGATATGATGCTATAAAATATTTGTGGTCAGTTTCTTAGTGTAAATCAGTTTACTTTCACTGAAGTCAACTTATACCAGATGAGGATCTTGCTCCATATTATTTATGTTTATTTGAATGTTATATAGCACATTACAATGGTTAACAATTCTTTGGAGAATAATCATTTAATTTTTAAGTATTTATTAAAATTTAATAATTGTGATAGACCCAGACCAATTGATTACCAAAGTCTGAAAGAAGGTAAAGCAAAATACAGGACTATGTAGTCCTGTATTTTGCTTCAGCTACACCAGACTAACACGGCTACATTTCTATTACTATTCTGAAATAAGGTAGATTTCCTGACCCCTGGGTGAACAGTTTTCTGTTCCCTGAGGGAACGTCTACACTGCAGGGCTTAACTCGAAATAAGCTACACATATTGAGCTACATCAATTGCATATCTTATTTTGAAATAGCTTATTTTGAAATTGGGAGCATCTATAGAGCATTTATTCGAAATAGAGCGTCCGTGCCAATCTTGACGCGGTTTTGTGCAAGAAAGCCCCGATCACCATTTTTGCCATCGGGGCTTTTTTGCACAAAACAGTTTTTAGCTGTCTACACTGGCCCTCTTGCGCAAAAGCATTTTGCGCAAGAGGGCTTTTGCCCGAACAGGAGCAGCATAGCATTTCTGCAAGAACACTGACAATCTTACATTAGATTGTCAGTGTTCTTGTGGAAATTCAAGCGGCCAGTGTAGACAGCTGGCAAGTTTTTCCAGAAAAGCGGCTGATTTTCCGGAAAAACTTGCCAGTCTAGATGCAGCCTGAGGGTTACAGGAGTCGGAGTAAGAAGTCCTCCAGCTTGACAATATTTTGACAATATTTCAAAATAACTGCCTGCTCTGTAGATGCAGACTAAGTTATTTTGGAATAGTGCTAGTTATTTTGAAATAGTGTTGCAGCGTAGATGTACCCTGAGTGACCACGGCAGGGGCTGCTAAATGACAATTAAGCCAGGCAGGCACCAGGAGCCAATGAAAAACATGTTTGAAGCAAGTGAGAGAGACAGGCTAATCAAGCACCTGCAGCCCACTAAGGACCTGCTGGGGCTGGCTTAAAAGGCTTTCCTTCAGAGGGCTAGGGGAGTGCAATGTGGAGGAGCAGGAAGGACTTGTTCAGGTACCAGGAAGGAGGTACTGGAGGGAGTTGGTTTGGGAAGTGGTTCCAGGGAAAGGTGCAGCTCTGGTGGTGGAGGAATTACTGCCTGCTGATGATGCTGGGTTCCTGGGCTAGAACCTGGAGCAGAGAGGGGGCCCAGGTACCTCCCAACACTCCCTACATCACTACAGAGGCCATCCCTGAAGCAGGAGTTTGGCACTATAGAGGGGTTCATCCCAAACCATCTAGGAAAGGGCAAGAGGCTAGGTGGAGGGCCACACAGCCTCTGAGGCAAACACTTTCTACCTAGAAATGCAGAACCCCCAAGGCAAGGCCAGAGCCTTGGTACATAATGCATAAGGTGCATTGTTCAATACTTTGTTATTAAATATTTCATAGCCTTTACAATCCATTCAATATATGTAATAAAATGACTTTGCACTCCAATAGCGCCTTTAAGTGGATGACTTTAAATTACTTTACAAATGCTAATTAGGCAAATCTCACAACAAATCTGGGAGACGGGTAAGACTGTATGGGGATCACTTCTTTCACTACTTAGCACAACTGCTTCTGGAGTGAAATAAGGCAATAGTTTTAATAGGCAGCAGTTTAGGCAATTCAGATCACCATGTTCAATTGAAACTGCAGTGGAATTTACCAATGCCTGGTCTATGCTGGAAGTTTAGGTTGAACTTAGCTGCATTAGGGCAATTTTCTAAACAATGAGTCCAGACTAGCAAACCCATTCCATCAACTGTAAGGGCTGTTAACACTTATTTATGTACTCCTGCTTTCACAGGGAACAACCTCTACATTTGATTTTGCATGGTCGACTTTGCAGTGGTGCAGATTCAGTGCAGTGAAAGTTGACATTTTTGGCCTACAGGAGATGTCCCACAGTGCTCCGCAATGACTGCTCTGGCCATGACATTCAACTCCACTGCTCTCAAGGTGAACAGGAAAATCTTGGGAAAATCTGAATTTCATTTCTTGTGTGGCCAGCATGCTGAGCAGACCTCAGAGTAGGCAGTACATCTGAGAAGGACATCTGACCATGTTCAAGTTCCATGATTTCTCATGGTCACAGATGAGCATCAGTATGGAGCACGAAGTAGACCCTGAACATGATTGCTGTGCGGGGAGAGGAATCTGTTCTTGTAGAACTATAAACCAGCAAAAAACCCACAGATGTTTATGCCAAGGTTACAAAGGACGTGATGGAGAAAAACTATGCCAGGGACACCCAGCAGTGCTGAATTAAAATAAAGGAGTTGAGGCAGCTGTCCCAAAAGTTGAAGAAGGCAAATAGATGGTCTGGAGTACTGCAGCAAACGTGCCACTTTTACGAGCAGCTGCATATGATCCTTGGGAGGGGGAATCTGACCAGCTTCCCTAAGCCAGTCCTTCTCACAAAGTTTCTGGGCCTGCCTTATTCTGTTCTCCATGATAGGATACCTTCCCATGCCAAGCCATCAGTAAGTGGTCTGGCATCATTGCATCATAAACCATTGCAGCATGAGGTCCAGGTTTCTGGGCACATCCAGTTAGTATCTGCTCCCTATTATTCTGTGTGATTTGGAAAAGACCAATACCTTTCATGGCAACCTAAATGAAGCAGGGAAAGCTATTAGCTGATGTGTCTGCAGTAAGCTACCATTTGCTCACCCCCACACCTTGAGCTCCACTCTGCCACCACACCCAGACCCCCTCCATCCTACCCGCTCCTGCAGGAAGGAAGAGTTGCACTCTTGGCAAATGGGGAGGGCTGAACACACAAGCACTGTATGAGCTCCTGCCCTGAAGTCACGCCCAAACACCCTACCCTTCTCCTTCACAGGCTCGTGGCCTCACATGTTCCTTACTATGCTTGCCACCAAAACAACTCTAGCTTCTCCTCTAAGAACTCTGAGGTATAATGACTGCAGAGTGGCTGCTTAAAAGCATAACTATGGCCTTATACATAACGCATCCTTATTGTCCCCAATTGTCTTTGTCTAAACCTAATCAGGTTAGGTTTTACACTCTACAATGTATTCCTGTAAAGTCTCTCCTTTACTTTTCATTACAGTAGGAAAAAAGCACTCAGTCTCCTGCATACTTCCTAGCCCCGCAAGCTGTCCACATGGCACAAATCCAAAGGTGAAAATGGACTAGGGAAGAGATGTCCAATGAGAAAATGCAATCTGCCAACTTGGACAGAGAGCACATGAGTGAGTGGAGATGTGTGCAAAGCATAAGGAGAAAAGTGTGTGCAAAGAATGGGAAGACAAGCACCAGGAGAGAGTGTAGTCATCCATGGGAGCTGTAATGGACTGCATGGCAGCTTTCTAGGACACCTATCTGAACAGGTATCCCCTCCAAGCCCTGCAAACCATTTTCACCTCATCAAGTTCCATAGGCTGCTTTTCCTAGGAGCCCTAGAATGTGTGGGGGGAGAAGTCAAGGGCAGCCTCACACTCAACCCCAGGGATGCATCACAAAGCAAAAGCCTGTCCTCACAGTTGTGATCACTCCACCCTCCCAAAGCTCCCATGCTGGACTCCTTTTCTGTCCCTGCTGTGTTCCCTAAATAAAAATGCATGATTTATTAACAGTAGTCTCTTTATTGCTTGTATTATGGGAAGGGCTAGGGTTTACAGGAAAGTACACTGAATACAGGAGCACCTCATTGAGAGCAACATGCATGACTCTCAAAACTGGCCATTCATAAAACTGTCTTTCAAAGCCTCCCTGATTTGCACTGTCCCTCACCATGCTCTTCTTATTGTCTTCATGTCTGGCTGCTCAAAATCCCTGGTTAGGTGCCATGCCTCAGCAGTCCACCCAGACATATACATTTCTCCCTTACGGTCACAAATATTTTGGAGCACACAGCAGGCTGCCACCACAACAGGAATGTTTCATTCATGGGGGTCTACTCTAGTTAGTAGACTGTGGAACCTTCCCTTTAAGTACCTAAAAGCACATTCTATTACTATTCTGCACCTGCTCAGTCTGTAGGTGAGCTCCTTCTTGCTGCGGTTCAGGCTGCCCACGAGCCATGGGAGGAAGGGGTAGGCTCGGTCGTAAGGATAACTATTGCCATTTCAACAACTCCAAGGTAATTTTCTGATTAGGAAAAAGGTTCCAGGATGCTAAAGAGGCAGGAGTATCTAAAGATGTGCATGTCACGCATCTTTCCCAATCATCCCACACTGAAGTTGGTGAAATGGCCCTTGTGATCCACCAGTACCTGAAGCATCATCAAGAAGTACCCCTTGCAGTTTATGTACTCCTTTGCAAGGTGGCTGGATGCCAAAGTGGGGCTGTGCATTCCATCTATCACTCCACCACAGTTAGGGAACCCCAGCATGGTGAAGCCTTCCGTGTTTCCCAGAGTCACCACCCTCTGTAGCAGAACAGACTGGATTGCTTTGGCTACGTGGATCACAACAGTCCCCAACCTACATATGCTCTGGACATACTCCAGCATTAGGGGCACCAAGGTTAGCATCATCATCATAATAGTTTGATGATCAATGGGGTTATGCTGCTATGACGTCTGCGCAGCTAACAAATATGAGAAAAAAGGGCATGAAAACACATTTTGCTGTTGATTTAAGCAAGGGGGTGGGGAGGGAGGAAACTAGTGCATTATGGGCCAGTGATGACATATGTCCAGAAACACACAACTCGGAAAGCAAAGGGGCACAGTTCCTTTAATATAGTTTTGTGTATATATTACAGGAGTAAGAGTTTTGAAGATGCCTTTTGAAATAGTTGAAGTCATTAGACAGTACACTGGAATGTCTGAAGAAAAAAATAGTAGAATTACATCTAACTGAAATCCTTACTGAAATCACACAGTATATTAAAATGATCTTATGTGTGAAATTTAGCAGAGTGATACATTTTCTATTTTTAGCAAGTGGTGAGAGAAATACATGAGTGAGATTGTGGTTTCCTTCTTTAAACAGATGTTATGTGAAAATCATTCTACCGTGGAATAATTCTGTGTGTGTATTTGTATGTATGCGTGCGGATTAATTTATTATTTTTCTTCTTTCTGGCTTTACCACATAGATCACTTGGATGACTACAGTATTTCCTTCATGGTCCACACTTAACAGCAGATTTCTCTCTCTTGGGGATTAAAATAAAGAAATCCCTTCGGGCCTTGATTCTTATTTATATTAAGGTCATTGTATTGCTAACAATACAGAGCAATCAACAGGACTGTCTCTCAGTCGATTGCAAGTACCCTAAAACAATGAGTCTCAGATGGGTAGCCATGTTAATTTGTAACTTTAAAGATAACAAGCAGTCCTATGGCAGCTTAGAGACTAAAAAATGTATTAGGTCAAAGGCAGGGAAATTGCCTTTGTAGTGCATTAACCAGTTAAGATTTTAATTAAGCCTAACTTGATATTACTGAACTTGTAAACAAACTCCAGTTCAGTTGTCTCCCTCTGTAATCGGGTGACAAAATTATTTTGTAGAAGGATGGCTACTTTTAAATCCATTGAATGTCCAGAGAGGTTAAAATATTCCCCTTATAGGTTTGTGTGTGTGATACCATTCCTGATGTCTGATATGTGTCCATTTATCCTTTGGCACAGGGACTGCCTCATTTGGCCAATATACATGGAAGAGGGGCATTCCCTGCCTTTGATATTTGTATTTCCACATCAAATGCTATGAATGAGACACATCCAGTCTGACAATTAGCTTCATCAACACTGGTCCTACTAGAGACAAGTAACTTCTTATGCTGTTACATGTACCCTAGATTCTATAATTTCCACTCCCACTCATCTGATGAAGTGGGTTTTACTCACAAAAAAACATTATTAGTGTTTTAAGACCTATTAAGTGTTTTAGTCTCTTAGGTGCCACAGGACTGCTCATTGTTTCCTAGGACAATGAGTTAGCTCAGTGGTTCTCAAACTTTTATACTGGTGACTCCTTTTACACAGTAATCACATGAGTACAATCATCCTAGTAAATTAAAAACACACTTGATTAATTCCAAGTAGTTCCCCATCTCTTCTGACCCTAATACATGATCATTCATGTTTAGAATATCTTCAATTAATAACTTGAATTTGATAATATTGTACAACCACCATATCCACAGCAACAGAACATGGTGCTTGAAAATCAACCTGCTATTGCCTGCGAGTCCAAAGCAACATCATTATTTTTAAACTTTATTAACCTTTTTAAAAATGAAGATAAACACCATGTTTTAATTTGCTATTTGGAACAAAATTTCAGGTGTTGCTGCTGTATAGTAAATGTTATGCACTACCCAGGAAGGCTTCAGCGCTTTTTTTTTTCTTTCACAATGCAGTGACCTGATGCCCTGCTGGAACCTGTTTCAGCTGGCCTTAAATGTGATTCAGCATCCAATCAGTCTGGACGCGCTATTTCAAAATAAAAAAAATGCTATTTCGAAATGCATTTTGTGTGTAGACGCGTTATTTCAAAATATCTTATTTTGAAATAGTTAATTCAAAATAAGATATTTTGAAAGTACACTCAATATTTTTTAATTCCAGTCAGCTGAAAACACACCCAGATCTCAAAGGAGAACTGGAGAACTGAGATATAGGCCACCTGTTCATATCTAGTCCAGTTTGTTAGTGACCAAACGCTATTATAATTTGATAGCTGTTGCATTTGGTGATTGCTGTCCAATTTTCAGTAAACAATTGTCCATATATCAACACCCTAATCAGCACCAATTCATACTTTTGATAACCATCTCACTAGAAAGAACAAGGATTGACTATGCTTGGAAGCTGAAATGCCCTTTTACACTTACAGCTCAAACTTGTCAGGTCACAGTTAAGGCATACTAGAAGTTAAAGAACAGAAATTTCCAGTGATACTCAATCCTATGCTTGCTCTTCAGTCTTTAGAACAGTCAATTCAGTACTTTTTCTGACAATACTTAGTTTAACTCATGGACCTAATAACTACTGAATATTTGAAACACTCCATTTATTAGTGGTAATTCAGTCAATATGTATGCAATTGTTTGATATACTGCCAAGACTTACTGTTGAGTGGTAGAGTGTCAACAAGGCTGGATGCTGTGTTATCACTTCAAATGTTGATAAAGTGGTCTTAATCAGTTCTTCTGATGCAGCTTGACCTGGTCGTAAAAGAATTATCTTTCTTTATAACATGTAACAGTAAGAACCAAAGGTTCTTGAACTATGGGTGTTGCCCCATCACATGGCTTGAAAAGGTTTCCATCATATACAGGGTTTACAATTTGGCTCAATAGCTCTGAGCACCCACACTACACAATTTTTTCTAGCATCCCTATTAAGAAATAAATTCATATAAAGATAGAGAAATGGCATAAAGAAGCTTACCTATCGCTCCAGCTAAGTTAGTTTCTCCTGAATCTATTGATTTGATAAAATTCTGTAGAAAAAAATTACAAATATACATTCAAAATGAGTTTAGAAACAAAGAGTAACAAATGTTTTTATACACACACACACACACACCCACACACCTCTCACAGCATCCCCATCAAAACTATGCTATCCTCAACTATAATATTTTCTTATATGAAAGATCGAATGCATTTGTATTCTATTTTTTGTGACATTTCAGTTTTATAAAGGAGCTTCACACTCAAAAGTACAGTACAATGAGGCCTCATTAATTTGACTAATGTCAAGAATTATAAAGTTTCTAGATAAATAGGAACCAATTAAATAATACACTTTATTAGTAATATATCCTGCATTTTCTAAAAAGAGATTGAATTTTCTTGAATAGTACTGTGTTAAAATAACTCATGAAAAAGACCAAAGAGCCTCTGGAAAATGTAATTTTCTGTAATTTGTGCCATCTTTTGATCTCCACACACAGTACATATTGTACAGATACGATTACATGCAGGAGAGTACAGAGAGGAAGGCATACTTATAACCTAAATAAATCATCATCACTGAGGAACAGTGAGAATAAAATATTAATGATTTTTGGGTAAGTAAATATGACACTATTATTCCCACTGTTCTTGGGCTATTAAATTCATTACCTTTTTTCTGATTTCACTTTTATGCATAGATATGTATTTCATAGGGGATGCAAAGGACATTCTACTGATACTTACTGCCACAGAAGGAATAATTCTCAGTAGAATTTAATACCCTATTACTTATATTTATCAAGTCTATAGTTTTATTGCACAGAGAAGGTACTGCTTTGGCATCTTTCTGACCTTCAAGTTATACAGTTCTTTTCTATAAAATATTAAGATAAAGACTATAAAATAATTTTCATAGAACTAACAGTTTATGACCTGTGAATGTAAAATGATACACTGTGTTACTATAACATTGTCAGAAGTGCATCCAAAATATATTACCTTTTCCCTAACACCCAAGAAACTCATACAAGAGGTTTTTTTAGCCACAACAGCATTATTGTATCTTTGTTTTAAAATTATTATAGCAGATCATAGAAAGGTTTGCTTACCTTACAGAAACAATGGTCCCTCAAGATGCTATCTAAGTGGACCCCACTGTAGGTGGACATGAGCCTCATACTCGAGATTAAAAATAAAAAAAGAAGTGTCCATCGGCTTCATCAGATGGAGTGACAGTCTCAATGGTTTACTTCTCTTACTGTACAGAGTCCTGGATACATCTAGTACCTACATTTTTTTTCTCTCAATGCCAAATGAAGTTTTAGGCAGAGGAATTGCAAGTTGATAGATGGCTTAGAATTTCATCTGAAGTACACGTTGAAGATGAACTTCAGGTGAGGACTGAGCACCACCTTATTTGTATGAAAAGTCATTTGGGGAGGTTCAGCTATAAATACTTACAGTTCCCTCACACTTCTGGTTAGAGTGATAGAAACTAGTAAGTCTCAGACGAGCAGCCATGTTAGTCTGTAACTTTTAAAAAAAATGTAGTCCTATATCACCTTAGAAACTATATTTTTGTTAGTCTCTAGGTTATAAAGGACTAGTTTTTTTTGTTTTTGTTTTTATTAAGAAACTAGGAAGTTCATCTTCCCAGTGAGATGAGGTAAAGAGCATTCTGAAAGAGGTTCAAAGGGCGATATCTCGAGTCTAAGTAGTACAAAATTAAAAACCCAGGCAATAATTGATTTTCTAACTAGAAGGCATGCAGTAGCCCTTTGGATAATTTCAGTAGCATAGAGAGTGAAAAGATTAGGGCAAGGCAGAAAACGACCTTGTCATTCTAAAAGAATATTTGAGATTTCAATTTTTTTGCCATCATAAACCACCCAAAAATGTTTACAGGCAGTCCCCGGGTTACGTACAAGATAGGGACTGTAGGTTTGTTCTTAAGTTGAATTTGTATGTAAGTCAGAACTGGTACATATTGTAGGGGAAACTCTAGCCAAACATTTCTCCAGAGCTCAGTTTTATTCTCCCACACCTCACTTCCCTCAGTCCTTTATTCTCAAGCTGAGGTGTCTGCTGAGAAAAGCCGCTCCGCGTCTCCCTGGTCTGCTGGGGGGAGGGGGAGGCCACGCTAGCTTCGCGTCTCCCTGGTCTGCTGGGGGGAAGCAGCTAGTGCGGGGTTGCCTCACCCCGTTTGTAAGTAGGGATCCAATGTAAGTCGGATCCATGTAACCCGGGGACTGCCTGTATTTGGACCAATCAAGCTTGTTCATGTCAATTTCAACCAAGCCTGGGCAACAAGCCCCCATTTGGGGCCAAGCCCCCATCTGGCCACAAACAGAATAACCTTATCTTGTGATGGAAGGCCACAAGATAGTGAGAAAGTGCACATTTACGGAGCTTAGAGATCATCCTAACCTTTTTGGTTCTAGGAGGAAATGCATATAGGCTACTATGAAGTATCGAATGGTTTATTACAAAGGTGTCTACTGCTAAGTATCTCAGTAGCTGGAGACAGATTCTAGCCCATGTCTGAGGGCTGATACAGACTGCTGAGATTAAATTGACCAATGCTGAAACTGTTAGAGGGGAGGAATTCAATAGCATTGAGGTTGGCATCTATGAACTTCAGAAGTTGTACTGCAGGTAATGTGGACTTTTGGATCTTTAATTGAAGTCCCAGACAGAGAAATAGGTTCATGTCTTTTTTTGTGACCATCAAACCCTTGTTGAATTGAACATGCAATTGTCTAATCATGGGAAGATAAAGAATTCCTCATTTGCTAAGATGTGCTGCTACCACACAAAGGATTTTTGAGAACACTCTAGCCACAGATGATAGACTGAATGGGAGCACCTTATACTAAAAGCAATCCTAACCCAAAATAAATCAGAGAAACTGTCTGTGGGATAGCTGGATCTCAATATGAAAGTAAGTAAGCTACAGGCTGAAAACAAAACTATTTCTTTTGGTCCCAAGATGGAATTATTGCTGTAAGAATTACCATTTTGAACCCTCACAATTCTGTTGAGTGATCTTAGATCTAGAATAGGTCTCCATCTGCTGTTCTTTTTCTATACCAAAATGTACTCAGAGTAGAATTCTGCTCTCTCTTTTGTGTGGGAATGGGTTCTATAGTATACAGGTTCAAGAGTGAATCAGTTTTTGGTCATAGAAGAATCCCTGAAAAGGGAAGGGAAGGGAAGGGAAGAAGGTAAAATGGATAGAATAGTCTGTAGAAATTATTTCCAACACCCACTTGATCCTCACATGGAAGGACTCCCCACTGAAGGCTGGACTTTCTTTGAAAAGCTGGATAGCTGAAGCCAAGAAGCCCTCTTGTGACCACCGCAATGGAGAAAGTATGAGCAGAAGTGGAGAGAGAGGCATGCAGAGATGTCCTTGCAAAGAGCTGGCCATTGGTAATGATCACATGAAATTTCTCTCTCTGATATATTGGAGGATGGTCAATAAAGGCATTCTTATAGGTGGGTGATGTTGTTGTTGGGGTATGCCATATTTTCACTGGGTTCAACAAAGCCTTGCTTATGGCTAACATAATGTGGAGAGACAAGAAGGCATGCAGAAAGACAAGTAGCTAACATTGTGACTCCTCAACCTGTTCTAGCAGAATCTGTAAGGAATCCACTAGCCTTTTGATAAAGATTTGAAATTGTGTGCCAAAGTTGATGGAGGAAGCATAACAGCTTTATCAGCAGATGATCAAGGGATATTGGTCACAGTTGTAACCTTGTCTAATCTTGTTGCTTGTTCCTCAAATGTCTCCTTTTGTGGATAAAGAGGTCTAGAGAGAGTACCTGGAGGTGACTGCCTTCATTTATCTTGGTGAGAAACATTAAAGGCTTTAAAAAATTGCTGCCGATAAGCCGCCCACATTCCCAGTAAGATCACATACTTATTTGTTGTACACAATCTGATTAAGTCATACCACAACATTCTTATCAACCATGTTCAAGGTTCAAAGACCTTCAGGAAGTTGAGTTACTTTTCTTTCCTCAACAATGTGTGTGATGGCTTGTGGCTGCCCACACTGACATGGCAGACTCTCTCTAAAATGCCACTGAAATTCTGCTAAAGCACAAATTTTCATATTCATTACAAAACCAGCTGAAGAGGCTCCATTGCCTTCATAGTAAATCAAACCCAGGTTGATGTTAAGTAAGGTTTGAGACAAGATAATTATTTGTCACTTTCTCTGCAGACCATGAAGCTTGCCACATGTCCTCTATTATAAATCCCTTACTTGGCAAACTTATCCACAATGAGCACCAGGAGGGCAGACCACTATGCAATAGATTAAAAAAGCCTTTAATTAATGGTAAAGGAGACATATCACACAATTTCATCACGAGCCTTGCTATGTTTTCCTATCTAAAAACACAGGGTGGAGGAATAGTGCACAGAATGAGTCACCACGGTAAAGGAATAGATTTAATTGTGCCTGAAATAATATGCATGGTGGAATTAAGTTGAATGTTGACCATTCTTGTGTGAGGTGTGGGAACCCATACTGGAGTGCAGTTCTCCACATTTGATAAACAGTGCCAAGGCTCAAGTCAGTTACATAGTCTCAAGGCTCAAGTAGGTTTATACTCTCCAACTCCTCCTAGCCACTTTTCCAAGAATGTTGTTGCATATTTTGACCATAGTTGTTGTTTTTGCAAGATGGTCACATGTGAGAGTTCTAGTAAACGTGATGCCTTCACAGACCAAATGTGAACCATACTTCATTTGCAAACATTGAGAACTATATTCAGCTCTCTGCCCACTTATGCATGATCTAAGTGGAAGACACTGAACACACTTGGTATCAGATGCCATCAACAACTATAATTGGCCACAGCCACCATACATACATTCAAAACAATCAAGTATGTCAAAGGAGTTGACTGGATGTCAAAATAAATGCCATCTGCATAAACAAACTTGAGAGATATGGTATATAGTAGGTCATTTGCATATAAGTTGAATAATATCAGAGCTGAAAGCTGTTCTTCTGGTGCCTCTAAACACATGTTCTTGTACTGCCGCTGATATGATACAGGCCACTAATATGATACAGAAGATCTTGGTGTGGGAACCCAAAAGTATCCATACCATCCAAGTGAGCTATATGTCTCAAGACAGTAGCTGATTCTGTAGAAACGGAAAGCTCCCTGATAGTGGAAGGGAGAGTATTAGACAGAAATGTGAGAAAATTATGAGAACTCATCATCATCATAGTCCTCTTCTTCATCATTTGGCAGAGGTGGAATAGTTATGGGAGACACAGTTGGTACTGTGCTTCTGTCCAGGAAGTAAGAGGTGGTCAGTACCAGGAATGTGTTCAGGTCAAGCAGGAAAGACTCTGGCATTTCTGAAACCAACAAGACTCTGATTTCATGAGAGGTTTCATGAGGAAGTATTTTGCCAAACATAAGCACATTTTCCATGTATCACCACCAACTTCTCAACTAACAGACATTTAAGAACAAATTTTGGGCAAAGAATACCTTCACCAATCACTACGGAAGTGGTATTTATGACCAACTAGAACCATCATCAATTCACCATAAAGTTAAAATATTAACTTGAAAAAATCAGTTTGGGCTAAAAAAGTATTTGATAAAATCTTTCGTCCTTCTCATCAACTTGTCTTTGAGGATGTAACTATGAAGTAGAATCAAGGAATTGAGAGTGCCTAGCTTGAGGACTGCATCTATATGGCATTTGAGATTATATGAATGATAGCAGGGAACATAAGGATCACCATATTGGGTCCATCTAGCCCAATATCCTGTCTTCCAACAGGGACCAATGCCAGGGCTCTGTCTAGACTGCAAGCCTCTTTCGAAAGAGCGTCTAGACTGCACGCGGAAATTTCGAAAAAGCGGCTTGCTTTTTCGAAAGAAAGCATCCAGTGAGTCTGGATGCTCTCTTTCGAAGAAGCCCTATTTACATTCAAGAACACCTTCTTTCGACAGAGGAACTTTTGAAAGAAGGCGTTCTTCCTCGTAAATTGAGGTTTACCGCCATCGAAAGAAAAGCCGCGTTCTTTCGATTTAATTTCGAAAGAACGCGGCTGCAGTCTAGACGCAGGTGAGGTTTTTTCGAAAAAAGGCTACTTTTTTCGAAAAAACCCCTGAGTCTGGACACAGCCCAGGTGTCCCAGAGACAATGAACAGAACAGGTAATCATCGAGTGATCCATCCTGTTACCAATTCCCAGACTCTGGTAAACAGGAGATACAAATAATTCTGAATTTAAGATTTCATAGACAATTGAAGGTGAACTGATATTTCAAAAAAATGGCTTTAACTATAACAAAATATACTTTAAGTTTACATATTAATAAATTCCAGTTAGTTTAATTATTTGGGATCCAGAACCATTATTTTCCACTTTATAGCTCAGAGATTTATTTATTGATCAAAAACAGAGCCTTTCAAGTCTAGGTTGCTGGTTCAAATCAAGCCCAGTTAGCATCTGTAAATTGTTCTCTGTCAGGAAATTGGTGACTAAGCGAAATAATTCCTGATGGGAAAATATTGGTTCTTTTCCAAAGACAACAAATGGGGATTTCACAACTACAACTAACACTAACTGGCCTATTTATTAGCTTTATTAAGGAAGCCAAAGAGCTTGGAAGATGAACTAAAATTGATCTCTCTAGTATACACTTGCAGCAGATAGGCATGACAGTCTGAGGAAGTTTAAGCTTCATAAGCAGTGTCTGATATATGGATAAAAGAGAGGACTTTGATCTCCACAAAGGTCAATCCAGCACCTTTCATAAAAATTAAATTCACGTACAAAAATGTAAGAGAAAAAATCTTTTGGAGTTCCACTTTTAAAACATGAACAATTTTTCTTAATTTTAATCAGCATTCAAAAAACAATCTTTATGAAAACTATCTTTTAAATTACTAATGGATGCAACTACATCAGACTCTGCTGAACAGGAAAAATAGAAACTATAATTGAACTTATCTGCAGTGAGAGTTTTTGCATCTACTGTGTGAATAAATCACTAATTTAAGCACTCTGTTAAAAATGTGTCCTTCAAAATATTTTGTTTGATCATGAATCGTAACTTTTAAAATACATTTCCCATTTGACAATGGATATTACTTTCATACTAGAAACTAACAGTACAATACAGAAGTACTACTTCATTTTAACTACAGTGCTCTGTGTCATTTTTGAAATCCAGTACAGTTTTTATTGTTAATGTCAAAGCTAGAGAGCAGATGCTGAACAAGACAAATGTCTTTGCTCTCTAGTTTATGCTGCACAGCATTTCATCAACTAAATATAGTGTAAATGTACTGGCAAGGAGAAAAAGATAACAATTCATGTGGGTTATATTCTTAAACTAGAAAAAGAATGTGTCTTACTAAATGTAAGACAGAACTGAAATATGGTATTATAGTTTATCTTTCATAGCACTTAGGAAATTATGCATTTATCAGAAATTATGCAGTATGCAGAACAGTTATATTATATGAAACTTCTGAATTAACTTATTTATTATTTGAATGACCTTTGTGACATTTGATCTTAAGACACTAATTGCTGTTTACATGGAGAAAGCAGCTGTTAGGCTTTTCTCTTAAGGAAATATACTTTGGAAGACAATATATTTTCTGCTAAAAGGTCAAATTTGATATAGTCAAAATAAAGAAAAGTTACATCAGGAAGACAAACCCACTTTTGTTTTAACTAACTTATATATTGTATAAGATTACCAGGAGTATACACATTTTTTATATACAAAACATTAGTACAACTGAAATTGTTACTTACAAGCAAAGTTCCATAGTTAAAAAGAAACTGCTCTGTCACAATCTGGGGTCGGAATACCTATTTGAGCAGAATTTTGGAAAAAGCAATTAAAAGCAGGTAAAGTGGAACATTTTGGTTTTATCATTAAAACTATCGAAACATCACAAACAGAGCTCAAGTCTTAAATCTGTCATATAGTTGGAAACTAAAAATGTTAAATATCGATTAATTTACTAGTCGAGTAGTTGATGGAATTTCCATCGAGTAGTCGATAGGCACTTCCGCATTCTGTCGCACGGAGCTCAGGATAAGCTGGCAGTAATCAGCTGGGGACTCCCCAGCTAATTCCGGGTTCCATGGAAATGCTGCACGGAGTCCGGGGTCAGGTCAAGGCTGCCCAGCTGACCCGGGGCTCCACGCGGTGCTGCTGCTTTGAAACACTGTGGCGCAGCATTTCAAAGGGGCAGCACCGCACAGCTGATCCCGGGCTCTGCAGTATTGCTCCTTTGAAAGGCCACCTCATCGTTTCAAAGGGGCAACGGAGCCTAAAGTCAGCCCATGCAGCGCTGCTGCTTTGAAATGCTGTGGTGGCGTTTCAAAGGGGCAGCGCTACATGGAGCACGGGATCACCTCTGTGGCACTGTCCCTTTGAAACACCGCCATGGCATTTCAAATCGACATCACCGCACGGAGCCCATATCCAGGTTCTATGTGATGCTGCTGCTTTAAAGTACCCTCTCCCCTCCCACTCTTTGCTGCCTCTATCTGATAGAGACAGTGGGAAGGGTGGGAGGGAAAAGCAACTAACCGACTCGACTATCCGATAAGCATTTGCTTATCGGATAGTCAACTAGTCCTTAACATCCTTATTGGAAACCCTGCTGACTTCATGTAAAGAAGAAATAATTTATCCTACTCCAATTACAACCAATAAAGTGCATTTAAGGAGCATAAAACGGCTTATATTCTTTGTTTTCTAATTAAAAATAAATATTCACCTGGGACGTCACAAGATGAAGAACAACAGGCATCATGGGAAGCCACATCTTCAGCTGTTTGGCCTGAATTGTTGATGGATGTTTACGTCCAGAGACACTAGCAAGGGCATTAAGAATGTCACCTGTAACACACAGCAAATGTATACATCTCAGACTACCTCGACATAATTAGTTTAACAAAATAAAGGCACTGTTAACATTTTTTCCACACATAGTCTGTTTGAAGTTTCTCAGGCTTAACTTGAAGAAAAACTATTTCTGATTCTTCTTACAAGCTGAACTATTTATTCTCTTTGTTCCTACAAAGTGCTCAGCACTTTATACTCAGTCCAGAAAAATTAAACATGTGCTTAATTTTAGGCACATATAAAAGTCTTAGAGGGGTAGCTGTGTTAGTCTGTAACTTTAAAAAACCTGATCCTGTAGCATCATAGGCTGTGTCTACACTACATCCCTCTTTCGAAAGAAGGATGTAAATGAAGCACTTCGAAAGTGCAAATAAAGCAGGGATTTAAAAATCCTGTGCTTCATTTGCATAATTGCATCCCAGCAGTCTTTCGAAAAAGGGTATTTCGAAAGTGAAACTGCAGTGTAGATGCAGTTGTTTAAAAAAAAAAAACCCAGCAACCCCTTTTTTGAAAGATCCCCTAATCCTGAAAAAATGAGTAGTATGGGATCTTTCCAAAAAGTTTTTTTTTTTTGAAAGAACCGCTTCTAGACTGCCGTTTCACTTTTGAAATACCCTTTTTTGAAAGACTGCTGGGACATGATTATGCAAATGAAGCATGGGATATTTAAATCCCCGCTTCATTTGCGCTTTTCAAAGTGCTTCATTGACATCTTTTTTTCTTTTCTTGACTATTTTTCTAGAAAGAAAGAAAGAAAGAAAGAAAGAAAGAAAGAAAGAAAGAAAGAAAGAAAGAAAGAAAGAAAGAAAGAAAGAAAGAAAGAAAGAAAGCTTTCATGGGCACAACCCACTTCCTCCATTCATCTGAAGAAGTGGATTGTGTCCACAAAAGCTCCCGACACTCTCTAGATATTTGTTAATCTATAAAGTGCTACAGAACCACCCAAGTTTTTTAAAGGTTTTTTTTAGCATGTGAGCCCTCTGATTTCAATTGATTGCTTTCAAAACACTCAAATATTTGCCAGTAAGTTGCTTAGATTCATGTAGATTTGCAAACCAAAGACACACATTTCTTCTCTATATAGTAATTGAGAATGCGAGACAAGGGTCTTATCTGTTATCCTAGCTGAAAATGTTAACCAGTTATTGTAAAAAGTACTAACCCTTAGCTTCACAGTCTTCCACTAGTGAAATAAATTAATTTCTTCTTCATACCAAATGGGTGAAAGTGACTAGCAACAGAATGAAGCTGATTACTATATTACTCCTGTTTTATGCCAGTACAATTCCACTGACTTTGTTGGAATTATTTTTGTATTATACAGGAGTATTACGATAACATGTACACTATTTTTCAAGACAAGCAGCTGTCACTCAAATGTCTGTAATCACACTAGCTCTGAACTGTACACTCCTTTAAAACCAGGGATATTCCTGGTCCTCTAGAAACATTTGTAAATCAAGTCTCCATCCCCCTCTGATTTGCAAGTAATCAAATGCATATCAGAATGAACCTCAGGAAGCTTGTGTAGTTACAGAAGTGTGCTTAGCAGTTTCCGTAAGATATTAGAAAAGAGTGTTCCAGGCCTTCATTTTAGATCAGGCATCCCAAACTTTTTGCTTGCAAAAAAGTTAGCATGATTTTCTGCCAGCTCAGGCAGAGAGCATACCTGTTGATAAAACTGCTGCCTACAAAGAATCTTCTGGATTCTAGTCTCTCTCCTGAATATTTGCACATATGGATAGCGCATATGACAAAATGAAATATGCAAAGCCACCTATACACAGCCAACATGTCCAGAACTGCTCCACAAATGCCATGCCTCCACATGAGTCCTTCACATAACAGGGCCTCATACATACCATATGTACAAAGGCACAATGTGTAGAGGCCACCATTTTGCAGGTCAGAATATCAGCCTCATGGTCTGGAAAACATTTGGGGAAGATGGCATTATCTTATATGAATCCAGACTGTTGGACCCACAACCCTGCCTGCTGATGGCACAACTGTTATGGAGGTTGTAACCCACAATTTGGGAACCACCGATTTACATTACAAAGGTTTTAGAAACTGAAATCTTATATTAACTCTAATAATGTGCAAGATACGGAGTGTTATTTCATATAGTTTAAACGCATATGCACATTAAAATTATTTTTGTAGACTGACACTTAAAAGGCCTGAACTCTTGAAATACAGTAAAATAATTCCTAGCTCCAATGAACGGAATGGCAAAATTACCAATGACTTCAGTGAGGCCAGCATTTCACTCAGAATTTCTGGATAATAAATTTAACATTTTCAAGGAGCATATAATTGTTTGGAATGTATATTCTGAGAAGACAAGTAGATTTAAGAGTGACAAAGTATCCAAAGCAACAGGGATTCTTGTGACAGATAGGTAAAAAAGAAAGAGTTAAAGCATGAGCTAATGTGGGAGCACAGCTGAGTTATGATGAAAACATCTAACCTACAGCTAATCTAGAGAGAAGGATTAAAACTTTGATCATAAAGGGAAGATTGTGGTATAAGAAACAAGAAGTGTGTAAGAACCAGCAAATTCTACTCTGATTGATCTTGTGTTATATGAACTATTGTCTCAGGCAAACAAGAGGCCTTTTGTTTATGCATAAAAATGGAATTGATGGTCAGGGGAAAGTCTCTGCTTATAGGCAAAAAACAAAAAAACACACCACACTCACTAAAGCACTAAAAATATTAATTTAAAAGCCAAATTCTGTCCTTGAATGTGCATATCATTCATGTTTCCAAGTCTTTAATAGAGGCACTGAAAAATGAAAACCCAGATTTTGTCACCCTCATATCCAGTTTCATAGATTTTAAGGTCAGAAGGGAATACAAACTCAGCATACCTATCTTTCTTTAGGAGGGCCAGTAAGTGGCTGCCAGTTTATAGCATCTCTAGGCTGGGACCGAGAGTAGTAGGTGGGCCTCAGTCCATTCCCCCTACTCCTCCCACCATACACACCTTCTTGCTCCTATTTGCCATTGAGGAGAGTTGCCTAAATCCAGACTGTTAATTGCTCCTGAAGCAAGGGGCTAGATTAGACAGCAGTTGGCCACTCAGGCAAATGGTGGGACTGAGGAGTGCCAGGCCCCTGGAAATGGGGTGACAGCAGTCTGAAGCCCAGTTGGAGAGCTGTGTCCCAAAGCAGAAACCATGGTCCGGGAGCAACGTACATTCAGATGGTGGAGAAAGCAGAAGTGATGACAGGAAATCACCACTAAAGTGAACCACACTAGTGACTGTAATTCCCAGAACAATCCGAAGAAGGTGCTGTTGTGGTGATTCACACCCCATTACACATTAATTATCTGAGTAGTATCAGTGGTTTGTTCCTCAAATACTCTCACTGACTTTAATACTTAGCGTATGCAATGGAGGCAGTATCTAGCCTTAATTAAAAAGAAGAGACATGCAAACAATTGTATTCCAGTTTCAATATACTGTTCATAAAAGTGAATATTTCTCAAAATTTCTCCAGCTATTTGAGCCTCAATAAAGAGCCCTGCTCATAAAGCCCTAGTTGTGGTGAAAAAGAGATTCTGAATCTACATGCATCTGACGAAGTGGGTCTTTGCCCACGAAAGCTTATGCTCCAACACGTCGGTTAGTCTATAAAGTGCCACAGGACTCCTCGCCGCTGAATCTACTTTCTTGTTCTTCTGGCTTTCCATACTTTACAGTATGTACAGTGGACATCCTGTTGCCAAATTTTGCATTAAAGAAAATAAATAGCTCATTATTTCAGTATGACCTTATGTTTATTATATAGGAAATACCTAAAATGTTACAAAATACAGAACTTATTAAGTTAAAGGCAAATGACAATTTTTTAAGGCTGATTACTGTATTACTGATTTAATCTTATTTGAAATCAATTTCTATTTTTTCAATCTATTTGGTTTATAGTTACATCTGCTGGAAGAGATGGAAGTTAAAATAAAAATATATATATAACCCAACAAAAATCAATTTCCAAATCAGAAATCTAACTACTTTTAATTACATTCACTTTCCAAGGTGTCTATCTTCAGATACTTTTCATATGAGGGAATAACTTTTCTCCCTTGCTCAGAACATTCTTTTATTATCCCAAACAGGTAATGAGAAAATACTCTCATAAAACTAGAGGCATCAAATTAATCTTAATAAAAAACAACACACAAAACCCCCTTCCTTCACTCAAAAACAATACAACTCTTCTCAACATTATCTGAAGAAGGAAAACAAAGAGGAGAACTTACATTTGATGTACAAATTGTCCAAAACATGCCATTAAAATTGTACATCAATAGAAAAGGCAGAGAATTACATGTAAAAGACAGCAATACTTTTTGTTTTGTTATTATTTGCATTACAATAATACCCAGAGACCTCAGCTGTGTTAGGTATGTACAGGCAGCCCCCGGGTTACATGGATCCGACTTACATCGGATCCCTACTTACAAACGGGGTGAGGCAACCCCGCACTAGCTGCTTCCCACCAACAGACCAGGGAGACGCGAAGCTAGCGCCACCCCCAGCAGACCAGGGAGATGTGGAGCGGCTTTTCTCAGCAGACACCTCAGCTTGAGAATAAAGGACTGAGGGAAGTGAGGTGTGGGAAAATAAAACTGAGCTCTGGAGAAATGTTTGGCCAATGTTTCCCCTACAATATGTACCAGTTCCGACTTACATACAAATTCAACTTAAGAACATACCTACAGTCCCTATCTTGTACGTAACCCGGGGACTGCCTGTATACTCTTTGAGAGAGAAAAAGGCTCTCAGCATATACAGTTTAAGGCTGCAATCCTGCAATTGACCATACTTGGGTATCTGATAAGTTTTAGTTAGGAAAACAAAGAACAGATATAGCTTGCAGGAGAAACAAAATATTACATGGTCTTTGTAAATAAGCTTTAAAAATAGATAGGTGACTTTTTAGCCTATCACACTTTGCAAGTGCTACCCTTTCTCTTCCATTACTAAAGCCAATAATTAACTATGAGAAATAAATTGTCATTTCTTGCACTATGTAGCTGATGAGTTGTATTACTCTCCTCTGCCTGCGGACTTACAGGGGCTTTGTCCTTTACCCCGCCTTCAGATCCATATATTTGGGAGATCGTGCCTGCTAACTGAACTTTAACTGCCATCTTTACTCTGATGACTCACAGATTGACTACTCTAATCCTAGAATATATTTTCTCCATCCAATCCCATATTCTATCACTTTGTGAAGTCACCTCTTCATGGAAGTCTAGCCTTCAAACTTGTACTTAACATTTTTCCTCATTAACATATTCCACTACCCAAATTCTCTGTCAGGCTTGATAACGCCACCATACTCAGTCCTGTAATGTGGGGATTATTTTTGACTCCTCTCTTGCCTTTCACAATTTTGCCTCTTTGACCTTCAAGATTTGTCTTAAGTTCAATGTTTGTTTGTTTTTGTTTAAAAAAGCCAAAACTCACGCAGCCCCTCATCACATTTTATCTAGATTTATATATATTTATTTGCTCTGGGCTCCCTAATACTCACATCTTCCTGTTCAGCCCACTTCAATCCCTGAACTGGCTGCATCACCATGTCAAATTCAAATTTCTTGTTCTCACCTGCAAGTCCCTTCCCAAGTCTCTGCTCATCTTCATTTCTGCTCTTCTCTTATTACATTGCTCCCCTTATGCTGCCTTGTCTAATTCTCACAAAATCCTACCTCAGTATTTCCTCCCAAACTGTATGCTGTGTCTAGAACTATGCCCCTGAGGGCTTTGGCTGTTTGAAAAGAAAAGCCATTAGCATTTTAGCCTTCAAAATTCCCCTCAAGATCTGTAAACATAGTATAAAATTAATAGCAGCTTCAGGAGAAAATTGGGGTAGTTGGCACTTCATATATAAAATACGTTAGAAGAACTTTAAGAGAGCATTCAAAGGTTAGGAAACACCAGAATTAAGACTGTCTGTACAACCTTAATTCAACTCTTTTGTGCATTATGTTATTGTCTAATTATATGATCACCTTTTTTCCCCCCAGAGGACCTGCCTCATTCAGTGCAGAGGATGGAAACGTTCTTGGGATGAGGTATGTGTGGTGAAGTTTCTCTCTGTAGGATCATCATTTGTGCTAAAAATGTGATTATGCATTTAAAGTCTGTGCCATTATGCATATATGCAAATAGTTAAAATTATATTGCACAGGCAACCTTTATTCTGGCATTTTCTAACTTGAGTACTTGACTTTGCAACTTCAACAACGTTCTTTTACAGAAGTTTTTTCTAATTTCCTAAATTATTTTAAAAAGAAATTGAAAAACAATTATTATAGGTTGCACCTCCAAAAACTAGCACTCTCTGGTGCAGGACCATGGATGCTCCTGGAACAGAGAGCCTGGGAGCCTAATGGCAGAAAGTCCAGGGGCAGCAGGGTCGGCAGCTCAACCGAGGCCAGCGCCCTCAGCAGTCCGCATCCAGAGCCCCCAGGAGACTCTTGAAGCAGTGTGGGGCAGGGTCGGAGCCCCGTGGTAGCTCACAACAGCGCAAGACTCAGGCCAGAGTCCCAGGCAGTCAGCAGCAGCGAAGACCAGGACCGGAGCCTGTGACCGCCCGGGAGTCAGCTGGCAGTGCTGATTGGGACTCCAGCTTGGTAGCTCATGGTAGGGGCCTCCCCTGTTCTAGCAAATTCTCTCATTCCGGACAGATCAGGTCCCAAGGGTGCCAGACCAAAAATTCTCTCATTCGGGACGGATCAGGTCCCAAAGGTGCCAGACCAGAGAGGTCCAACTGGTATTATGTGACATTAACTGACACCTACATGTGTCAGGATTGGTAACTTAAGATTCACAGACACAGACCTCTGTCACTTGAGCTAAAAGAATAACAGAGCAGTAGTAGGCAGCTATCTTCTCTGTGGATTGATGCAAGGGAATGAGACACTTTGGCAGTTGTTTCACAGATATTTGATGACAGCAAAGGAATGGTGAGACTCAGGAATCTAGGATTCCATTCAAGGTTCTAGAGGAACAAGTTTCTCCCCCCCACTTGGCTCCCTGACTCTTCCCTGTCCCATACCTTCTGATTCCAAGTTTCTGGCTCTTCTATCAGTTTCCATCTAGTCTTCATCTGATGTCAGTGTTCCTTGCCCCAGTCAAATATCTCCCACTCAACACTCTTGCCCTCATTAGCTCCCAGTCCATCTCTCTGCCATTTTCTTTCTTTCCTAACCCCCAGTAGTCCTAATTTCACCATACTCCTTGGCCCAATCCCTGGTCCATATGTTGTGCCCCCAGTATTCAAAACAGACAGCATCCTCCTCCACAATAACTGGGTGCCAGCAGAGGGATCACTGAGAACACAGGAAAGACAGACTCTCTACTCTCATTTCTAGGGCCAGCCCCAATTGCTTTACAGGGAAAGCCCTGCTTCACCTCTGTAGTCCTGGCTTGGAGTATGCACAGTTGCTCTATGGTGATGGTGCACACACAGGTTGGTCAGCATGAGGACTTGAGAGAGGTTCAAGCATGCTCAGTGAGGTTGAACCATTTAGCAAATACCTGCTACAATCAAAAAAGTCTCTACGAAGGATATGTGAACTACAGTTCTCCAACGGTTTAGAATTTGGCCACATTTGAGTGGATTTTCATGGGGCTAGCACAAAACCCATCCTGACATTGAGGCCACTCCCGTGGCAAATCTGAAGTCTCTGCTCCAAGCATAGGGACATTAGAACTCCTTAAGAAGTGTAAAAATGTAACATGGGAAAAACAATTATTTTCCAAATCCTTGTTAGAGACAGCTGAACTGTATTGGCTGAAATGTTCTAGAAAAATTTATCCTGAAGCAGAAATCTAGTATGTAAAATTTCACTCTTAAAATTTTAAAATTAAGCAACTGAAAACAGGGTTTTACAATGAACAGCATCAGGAACACTTAATAGGTAGTGCTATCTGTCCTACCTATCACCATAGACATACATGATCCTACATAAATGTATACCTTTACACATATGTTTTTATAATAGATACAATTCCACCATTCGTCTTCCATGTTGTGCAAGTCACTTTCACTGTTATATTGTAAGATCTTTGGGGTAGGGAATATGTCTTTAAAAACATTTATATAACACTTGGTATAATGGTGCCTCAGTCCAGATTGGGATCCTTGTGTGCTACCATGATTCAAATATTAAATAAAAAAACATTTGTCAAGGTTCAAATGCAAAGAAGATATTATAACAATAATTAATATTCAATTGTTATAAACAGGAAATGAGGAAATACCATCTTTCCACTTACTACTGACTGTACTTTTTAAAGAGATTATTAAAATGTTCTGGAAGGTAGTGAGAAAAGTAGTAAGAAAAAAAAATTCTGTGCCAGCCAACTCAATTTACCTAGAATTCCTGGCAGCTCCTGCACAATGTGATAGATGAGAAGGTCCAAGCATTTTGACAGGTATTCATTGCTGCTTTGCTGTTCTTTTCCTGCTGTAGTCTTTCTGCTGTCTCTTTCGATGTACATCACCAGTCTACATATAAGCAAGTGCAAAGATTACCTCGTGAAAAAAAAAAACACCCAGATACTGTATCTAAAAATGCCATTGAGGCAAGCATTTCCAGGGGCACAGTTACAAGTACGATGACATTTATGTGTTGTTTCAGCAACTTGTTGAAAATATTAGATTTTTGTCTTTAAAACAAAGTTAGTTTAAAAAGAAAAACAACAACTAATTCTTCTATGAGGAACTGCAGATGAACCAAATACAATTAGCCAAAGTAAATTTGATATAAGCAAGTGCAACTCAATTAATGTACATGGATATATAGCACATAGATGAGGAGTGAATTGGCCATTAAAAACAGAATACGAGACTAATTTCAGACAGTTTACTTTTATTTATACCACCAAAAATTGGTTAGGCAAGGCAGAAAATTTTCCATTTATATTGAAATTTCCAAATGGAAGCAGTGGAGAGGGTACCACCGGAGTTTGAGAACAAAGGGTTCAACTATAACTACTTTTTAATCCCCAAAGTAAAAAGGGGGCTTATGGCCTATATTGGATTTGTGGGGCCTCAACAAATATCTGGTCTGACTCAAGTTCCGCATGGTCTTCCTAGACACTATCATTCCCTACCCGCATCCAGGGGACTTGTATGCCACCCTTTACATCAAGAATGCAGTCTTTCATATCGCCATCTTTGAGGATCACAAGCATTTCCTGAGATTTGTGGTTGGAAGGATGGAGGCCACCTCCAAGGCCATGCCGCAGGAACAGATGCTCGCTGATGCCCAAGATGAGGAGTAGGAATGTCAGCTCTTCCCGGTGCTGGGACTCTAGTACTCACAGACCTTGAAGACCGGGGATGTCCAGAGTGTGTGCAGCAGCTGTGACGGCCCAAAGAACCACTCCTTGAGTCCAGAGAGTGGTGACAGAGAGAAGCTCCACAGCGCTGGGACAGGGACTGGGAGAAGCAGGACACACCTTTGCATCTGGAAAGGCTTAGCGCTGGTGAGTATCTATGGCATGGTGAATGATGCTGATGTCATGAAGAGGGGTCCTGACCACGGCGTGGTGAGTAGAGAGAGTCACTATTTCCTCTGCGCCTCTGGTGCCAGGGGGCAGTGCCTGCATAGGTCTGCGCACTGACTCCAGTGATGCGGAAGATTGCACGTCGTGTCCCAGTATCTCATGTGCAGACCTATGGGGACTTCAGAACACTCCCCTCTCAAACACAGGAGGACAGTGCAATCAGACCTTGCCAAGAGATCGGGGCCAAATGGTGGTTTACAGCTGTGCTGGGACCCCATCGGTGTCAAGGGCAGTACTAGCATGGTACTTATGTCCTGCGTGGCAAGGAAGGCCTCAAGCGTGGAGGGTAGACAGACCTCCAAACACTGATGAGGGTGATCTTGATGCCAAGATCAGGGCCATTTGGGGCTTTTCCAGCTTGTCTGCTGGCTAGTCACCTTTCTTTCCCTTATCTTCACAAGGAGACTTGCCCCTGCCCAGCTTCCTAGGTCTAGCTGGGGCCATGGGCGACAATCAGCACTGTGCCATTTGTGCACTGTGCACCGAGGCACTGGCTGAGTCCTACCATTGATCTTGTGGGGCCAGCATGGACTCCATTAAGAGTGCTTTACGAAGGATGCTGCACTCTAACAGTTCTGGGACAGAAGGACTTGCAAATGTGACACTAGTTCAAGATATGTCCTTCCCCCAAGCAACGTAGGCAGTCAGCATGTGGATCACTGACTGGCATGGGTCTATGAGATGCTGTGCAGTCTTTGAAGCCAGGGTAGTAGGGCATGCCCATTTCCCCAGGCAGAATCTCTTCCAGGGGCGGACTGGCAATCAAAATAGGCCTGGGAAATGGGTTGAGAACGGCCCGCTTTCTCACATCAAATAATTTTTTAAAAATTTACTCTTCCATGCTAAGTCATTCATAATTGAGTTGTTCTGATTGAGAAGTGGTTTCCAAAAATATGTCTGTTAATTTCTGACATTTTTTCACTTCGGCTTGTAAGATCGCCTGTTTTTTTCTTTTTTAACTTCTCCCAAACACCTTGCACTTTTCTTTTTGACATATTTTAAATTATTTTTCTTGTACTTATCTTATATACTGCTATAATTCTTCTTGTAAATAACACCAGGTCGACAGGAACGGCGGTGATGTTTGCAGTGGCTGCAAAGGACATCGACAGACCAACAACCGGAACCAGAACAATGTACAAGCACCGATTGTTATTGCCAACAACAACCGTGTACAGTGACATCACACATTGCGCCACACTGCAAGACTCGCAGAATGTAAATTGTTATTGTCAACAACAACCGTGTACAGTGACATCGATTGTTATTGCCAACAACAACCGTGTACAGTGACATCACACATTGCGCCACACTGCAAGACTCGCAGAATGTACTGACAGCAACAACTATAATACGCATGCACCTCACACTTACTCACACAACCACTATTTTTCAAGTTAAATAAGTATGTCAGAAAGGCCCAGTGATGGTTCACTATTTTGTACTGTCTGACAGCAATTTCTCTTAGGCCTGACATACTCACTACACCTAATACTCTATTGCAAGGGTTCCCAACCGGAGGTACGTGTACCCCCAGGGGGTATGAGAAGCTTGTCAAGGGGGTACGGGGAATATTTGGTAAATAACTAGATTATCCTAATGAAATACAGGCAGTCCCCGGAGGTCGGGGCGAGAAAGCCCCGTTCGTAAGCTGCTCCAGTGCCCCTGGTCTGCTGGAGACCGTCTCCAGCAGACCAGGGGCACCGGGCGGGTTCCCGCGCTTCTGAGGCTTTGCCAGAGCAAAGCCTCAGAAG